TGCAGATGTTGAAGTTTTTATTTTAGAAACGGATATTATTTTCAGATGACTTAACTGACAAATAAGGTCACAATTACAATGAATACAGCATATATTCATTATACCAATATTTTTCCATGAAAAACATTTAGAAGGTAGGAAGTTTCAGCTGTGTCTGTTGAGTTTTAGTATTATCAAGAAATCCACAACAAACCAAATTGCTGGAGTTCTGCTCAAAATGATGTTTTATTATAATATGTAAAAATATTGGTATAATGAATATATGCTGTATTCATTGTAATTGTGACCTTATTTGTCAGTTAAGTCATCTGAAAATAATATCCGTTTCTAAAATAAAAACTTCAACATCTGCATACAGGTAGTTTTCAACTAATGACTTGTTGGTTAACGTCTATTAAGACAGAATTCAGAAAAGCTATTTACGACCTGCCCTCAAAGTTATGATCATCCCCTCCTTAGTCACATGATTGCATTTTGGTCTCTTGGCAACTGGCTCATGTGACTACAATTTGCAACACTTACTTATGTTTTTTACTATTTTCTAGCAAAAAATACCCATTCATAAGAATTGACTTGTTTATGACTCATTTTACCACCATAATAAAAATGGTTGTAAAATTAAATCCAGTCACAGGTTGGTTTGACAGCTGCAATGACTTATAACCTCAATTTTGGGTTCCATTATGATTGTAAGTTGAGGTATACTTGTAATGGAAACATATACCTTTAGTGATATAATGGAATTGTTTATAGAAGGGATGCAGAGAAGAATCTATTGGCAAAATTTGTGCAGTTTGCCTATTAAGTATATGATTGAGAGGTGAAATTTAGCAATTGAAATAGTTTTCTTGAATTTCCAGTCTTGATTAATTTTTATTAGGTAATCAGTTAAATTAATTTTTAATTGTTAGATTTTTTTTCTGAACATATTTAAATTGCTAATTATTGCTAAGTGCCAGACTAGTTGCTAGCTCATGTTGAGTTACTTTCATGTGAGATGGGTAGCTGTATAAATAGGGTTAAATAATACTCTAGCAATTTGAAATATTGAAGAGTTATAAATCCTTAAAAACCCTTGCTTGTAGTAATGAATAACATATGGAGGAGAAAACAAGGTAAATGTTCAAGCTAAAGTAATTTTCCATAGACTGAGTTTAAGAAATTATTTCTAGCTTTCAAATTATTACTAGAACATAGAATAGAGTTGGAAGGGACCTTGGTGGTCTTCTAGTTCAATCGCCTCCTCAAGCAGGAGACCCTAAACCAGGGGTGTCAAACGGGATTTCTTTGAGGGCCAGATCAGCATTGTGGTTGTCTGCGGGTCGACTGGAGGGGGGGAGGATGTGTGTGGCCTCCTGCACCTCATTTTGGCTGGCAGGGTGCTGCAGGAGGCCATCCAGCTGAAAATGGGATGTGGGGGGGCCATGCATGCCCCCTGTGCCCCAGTTTGGCTGCCAGAGCCACTGTGGGCTGGTCGTTTGCTATTTCCAGGACAGCCCTGTGGGCCAGGTTTAAGCACCCTGCAGGCCGGATCCAGCCCATAGGCCTTGAGTTTGACACCACTGTCCTAAACCATTTCAGAAAAATGATTGTCCAGTCTCTTCTTGAAACCAGTAATGGAACACCCACAACTTCTGAAGGGAAGCTATTCCATGAGTTGATTGCTCTAATTTTCTCCTTAGTTTTAGCTTGCTTCTCTCCTTGGTTAGTTTTCATCCATTGTTTCTTGCCTTGCCTATTGGCGCTTTGGAAAATAGTTTGACTCCCTTGTCTTTGTAGGAGCTATTCAATTATTGGAACACTGCTATTATAGCATCATTTTTCATTAGACTAGACCAGGGGTCGGCAACACACTGCTCCCGAGCTGCATGCGGCTCTTTGGGCCCTGTGCTCCAGCTCCCTGTCCCATCACTGACTCACTTTGCCCCTCCCTCGCCTGGCCTGAGAAGGTAAGGGTGAAGGTGGTAATGGAGAAGTGGCCATGGCTGATTCTCTGGCGTCTCACTTTTGTGGAGCTTCTTTTGGCCCTTGTTTGTGCTGGGCATGCCTCAGTTGCTTGGGGAGACCGGCAGCCTGCTCTCCACCCAGAGACACTGGGTGGGAATGGAATCTGGGAGAAGGGGATGTCAGAAAGGAGGATGGGCCAGCTTTAAAAGGGAGCTGGCCTGCCGAAACTTGCATGCCCACCTTGGGTGTTAGACTCAGAAAAAGCCCTCACCAAAGATGCTCACTCATCAGTCAATCTTCCCTCCCTCTCTCTATCTCTCTCTATCTCTCTCCCCTCCCTCCCCCCTCCCTCCCTCCTCCCTCCCTCCCTCCCTCCCTCCTCTCTCTTGCTTGAGACCCCCCTCAAGGAAGCGCCAAAGTGCAGCAAATGTGCACACGGGGCAACTGGCTGCTCACTTAAGGAGGGTCTTAACAGGATGCAAAAGGATGCGGCTTCGCTGCTGCATTAAGGCTCCAGCCTTGCTGTATCATCTCTCCCCCCCCCCCCTGCATGAGAGGAGGAGGGTCACCAGAGCCTTAGTGGAGGAGCAAAGTGGCACTCTATCTCCCTTTCCACCACATTGGCACATAAGGCAGTCTTTGCTTCCTGCTGCTTCGGGCTGGAGCTTGTGTCTTCTATGCTCGGCTGAAGAACTGCAGGGGGGGGGGTGAGACACGGCAAGGCAATAGCTAAAGCCTTAGTTCATGAAACAAGCCATGTCCTTTGGTGTCCTGTTAAGACCCTCCTTAATTGAGCAGCCAGCCGCCCTGTGTGCGCCTTTTCTGCACTTTGGCGCTCGCTTGAGAGGGGGTCTCCCCATGCGTGCACATTCTCCCAGCCCTGCCATAGCTGGCCAGGAAATCGCAAGAGGGGGAGGAGGGTTACCTGAAGGGAAGCCTCCACCGCGGCTGTTGATTGTTCCTCAGCAGAGAGAGAGAGAGAGAGAGAAAGAGAAGGGGGAAGAGAAGGAGATAGAGGAAGAAAGAGGGAGATGGGGAGAGGGAGGAGAGAGAGATGAGAGAAGGGGAGACAGGGAAAGAGGGAGATAGGGAAAAAGAGAGAGAAAGATGAGGGAGGGAGAGAGAAAGTGATGGGAGAGAAGGAGAAAGAAATGGGAGAGGGAGAATGAGAGAGGGGGGAGAGGGAGAGAGAGAAAGATGAGAGGGAGGGAGTGGGAGATAGAGAAGGAGAAAGAGAAATGGGAGAGGGAGAAAGGGGGACATGGAGAGAGAGGGAGAAGTATGTGTGTGTGTGTATCTTTCCCATAGAAAAGAAAATATAGCCACAAAACTTGGGTAGGTGTGGCTGGAGGTGTGACATGTGACTCGGTGGGAATGAGTGACATCGAGTTGGTCATGCCCACCCAGGGTTTGTGGCTCCCGGTGTTTTGTTTTCTGTGGGAAACAGGCCCAAGTGGCTCTTTAAGTATTTAAGGTTGCAGACCCCTGGACTAGACATACCCAATTTCTGTAACCGTTCTTTATATGTTTTAGCCTCTAGCTGCCTAATCATTCTTGTTGCTCTTCTCTACACTCTTTTCAGAGTCTCAGAGTCTCTTTTTATATTGTGGTGACCAGAACTGGATGCAGTATTCAAATTGTGGTCTTGCTAAGGCTTTATAAAGTGGTAATACTAATTCAGTAATATTTTCTGCAATTTCAGAAATGACTACCAGTAGTGGTACTAGAAAGGGCCTTTTTTCATTGTTGGTTACATGCTCCCATACTTTGCAATATGGCCAGAAACTATATTTTCTGTGGGTTTTAAAAAATCTTTAAAAAATTGAATTGTAAAAATGCACTTATACAGATAGTCATTGACTTGCAGCAGCTAATTTAGTGATAGTTCTAAGTTACAACAATACTGAAAAAAGTGACAACTATTTTTTTACACTGATGACCATTGTAGCATGATTTACATGTCACATGATTTACATTCGGATGCTTGACAACTTGATCACATTTATCATGGTTGCAATATCCAGGGGTCATGGGATCATCTTTCGTGACCTGACAGGGGAAAGTTAATGGGGAAGCCAGATTCACTTAACAACTGTGTTACTAATTTTAAAAGTTAGTGATTCAGTTAACAAATGACAAGTCGTAAAATCGGACAAAGTTCACTTAATAAATTTCTCACTTAGCAACATAAATTCTGGGCTCAATTGTGGTTGTAAGTTGAGGTCTTTGTGTACTTTATTATCTTACTCATTTAATAGTAAAACTATTCACTGACAGAATCTTCATATAATCAGAAGTGCAATCAGCTCAAAAGAGAGTAATATCACATCTTTGGATAAAAAAGTGCTAATAAGGGAGGGGGTTGAGAAGGAGGATAAGAAATGAGGGATAGAATTATACATTAATTCATGAACAAGGTCAAATCCATTATTTTTTTTGGAATTATTGATGTTTTATGTATGTTATAAATATGTTATTAGAAAATAACACTCATGTCTGACGTTATTAGGAAGATGTGGTTATAGTATGTGCTTGTAATGTAAGAGAAAGTTACTAAAAATACAAGTGATTGTCATTTATCATTTTATGGATCTGTTTGTTAGATTCAAATTCTTTCTTTCAGATTTGACAACTAAAGAATATATTTCCTTGGAAAAAGAAAATGAAAATCAGGTAACTTTTTTCTACTATCTGTTAAAGTGCATATGGTACTATATATACTTTGCATCCTATAATTTCATTTTCCATTTCTGAACAATTACAGTATTTAAACAAATATCTGTAATCAGCCTAAGGAATGTTTGCACTGTTCAAGTTATTTGAAACTCCAGTTTGTACTTTATGAGATACTTTTTTTGTATTTGTTAACGCTTTAAAAATTCCAAATATTTTCAGAATTTCCATCCTGGTTACTGAAACTGGGTAAACTTCATTTTTTAAATTTAATATTTTCCACTAATTCATGTGATATAAAGTTAAGAGATTTTAATTTTCTTGGATCTACTTTTAACCATCCATGTGGAACTTAAATGGAATAACTTTTATTATAAGCTCATTGTATCCATCTTGTGAGTTTTTCTTGGGACTTTCTGCTGATAGATTAATTTCTAAGAATTCTGCAGATTATCAAACAAATAATTTGTTAAATTAATGTTTCCAGTTTGCTTCATTAGATCCTGATCAGAATGATATAGCAAGTGAAACAGCCAGCAATTCTGTGGCTGGCTGTTCCAGATTTATAGAAAATGAGAAATTGCTGAGCTTTGAGAGCCTTGAAGAATGTTCTACAGGTATGAGATAAAAAATTAAAATCTGGGAAATTTCTTCTGCTTCTATTAATGGTGATGTATCATATCAGCAAACATATAATTGCATATATTGTGTTTTTTCATGCAGCTAAATGCTAACTTTAAATGACATCTATTAAAAACAACAAATAACCTTCTAGGGATCACTGATGAAGATGTGAAACATTTGTTTAATAGCAGACCTTTCTTTTCCATTTTAGATTATGATATTGGAGATGAAGAGTTCTGTGATGACCAATTGGAAGCATATTTTGAACAGCTTGTATTGCCAGAAATTGAAGATACAGAGGAACATGGGGACTATATTAAAAGCATGGAATTACCTCCAGAACAGGTATCCCTAAATGAAAAATCTGTCACTGTAACATTTCAAATTGACAGTCACTGAAATGATGCAATAAAGTTGTTTGTTTAAAGAAGAAGCTAAAATGAAGGTTTCTAAAAGGATGTAAATCAGTTGCTGGAGGTATGGAAACATGTACCGTATTTTTCAGAGTATGACGCACCTTCCCCCCTAAAAGAGTGTGGAAATGTTGGTGCATCTTATACACTGAATACAGCCATTTTTGGCCGCCTCACCCCCGCATCCCATTTTTGTGAAAAACAGGCTGTTTTTTGCAAAAACTGAAGCATTTTCCCCTTCCTCCAGCCCGCAGGAGCATTCTGCAGGCTTCAGCAGGGATGGGGGGGAAGGGAAAAGGCCCATTTTTTCACAAAAAACGGGTGAAAAATGGCCCATTTTTCGCAAAAACAGAGGCATTTCTACCTTCCCCCCAGTCCTGCTGAAGCCTGCAGAGTGCTCCTGGGGGCCGGGCAGGACAAAACCTTTTTTTTCTTACCTCTTCAAAATCTTGGTGCATCTTATACCCCGGTGCATCTTATAGTCCAAAAAATATGGTAAGCTAAGCATTCTGTTTAAAAACATATCCTCATCTAAGCATGTGTAGAGCAAACAATTTGGGAGAACTCTATTCAGATAGTCCTTGACTTACAACAGTTCATTTAATAACAGTTCAAAATTAAAATAGCACTGAAAAAGCGACTTATGACCATTTTCACACTTACGACCATTTTTCACACTTACGACCTTTGTAGCATCCCCATGCTCATGTGATCCAAATTCAGGTGCTTGACAGTTGACTCATATTTAAGAAGGATGCAGTGTAGAGGATCAGGTGATCCTCTATTGTGACCTTCCCACAAGGAAAGTAAATGGGGAAGCCAGATTCACTTAACAACTGTGTTACTAACTCAACTACAGTGATTTACTTACAAATATCTTACTTAACAACAGAAATTTTGAGTGCAATTATGGTTGCAAGTCGAGGACTACGTGTATCATTTTTCCTCTAAAGGAAATAACCCAGTCCACACCGTTTTATGGGGCCTCTTCACTTTGCAAACAGGGAAACTACCGTTTAGAGAGGGCTGTAAAGCACTGTGTATATAAGTCTAAGTGCTATTGCTATCTCTTGTTGAACAGGATAAACCAGCCAAAGCCAATTTTGAGGAAACTGTGCTATAGGGATCTTGGGATCTTGCCTGCATGACTTTATATACTGGAATATATGACACATTGAATTGTNCCATAAGGCAGTGACCGTTGCATTGTGAAGGCCAGGGGCAGGACGTCACGGATTACAGCACGCCATTGATTCCGATTTAGGGCGGCTTGTTGGACATCGGTTATCGAGAAATGGAGTGGTTGAAGATCGTGAGCCACTTGGGATATCCACGTTTTCTTTGGGGCATTTCGTGTGATTTTCCACCCATTATTTATTATTATTGTACATCATGGATACAACGAAATTGGTTATATGTATATATGTAAGTTTTTATGTTTTGCTGAGTGGCAAGCACAACTTCTGTGCTTGGACTGGGAAAGAGTAAGGAGAGATTTCATAGGAAACCATAGGCTTTTTCATGAAAGGGCTGTCATGAAAAAAAAGGAATAGAATGAATATTTCTTTTTCCAGTAGGAAATTGTGAAAGAAATTTGAATTTTGAATGCCACTTTTGAATGAAAATTTCAGAAAAAAACAGATCTTGACTAAATATTAGATGAAAGAGCAAGAACAGTTTGCCAATAGATCAAAAGGTGTTAGTAGGTATCTATTTAAATGACTTGTTAGCCCAATGAGTAATATTGAATTCCTAAATTTGCACAAGCCAAACAATAAACTAATCACGTACATTGGTTTGCTCAACAAAAAGTCACTAGCCAGGTATATTTTTTTCTAGTGTATAGTGCTATCTCATATGAATTGTGACATGAACTAGATAATCCTTAGATTTCTTAAATTTCTATAGTGAGGCTCTCAGACTTTGCATAATTTTGGATACATAAATAAATTGATCTTCCAGTTGCTGGCATCTTTTAATACAGATATCTAATAAAATTTGTAGTTGGAAAAAAAGGAAATTGTTTTTATCCTCCTTTATATGATAACTGTTTTAAATATAATCTTATATTTCTGGTAAATATCATTATTCTTTTTCCAAGTTGAGAACATGAAGGACAAGTAACTGTTTTATTTCTTTTCATACAGACTTTCTGATCATGCTTCTTACATTGAAAGGAAATTTTTGGCCACATTAGCATCTTCCTGTGGTGATGAACTTGATTCAGATCCAAGAAAAAATCTTATGTCTAACTTTCATGATACTGTGTAAGATTTATATTAACCAATGGTACATTCTTTGATGCAAAACTCCATAATTCTGCATAATTAATAAGAACAGATTATTTCCTATTATTTCTCAAAGGACCATGTCTGTTTATGAATTAGAATTGTAAGGAATAAATTAACACTATTCATAATTCTCAAAATACATTTGATAAGTAAGTTTCACAAAAAAACTATAGATAGTCCTTGACTTATGACCATAATAACTCAAAATTTCCATTGCTAAATAAGTGGAGGGTTTTTTTCCAGTGAATTTTGTCCCATTTTATGCCCTTTCTTGCCACAGTTGTTATGTGAATCACTCAATTGTCACGTTAGTAACACAGTTATTAAATGAATCTGGCTTCCTCATTGATATTTCTTATCATAAGGTTGCAAAAGGTGAGCACATCACCCCAGGACACTGCAACTGTCATAAACATGAGTCAGTTGCCAAGCATCTGAATTTTAGTCATGTGACCAGGAAGATGTTGCAGTGGTCATAAGTGAATAATGATCACTTTTTCAGTGCTGTTATAACTTTGAAAGGTCACTAAATGAATGGTTGTAAATCAAGGACTGCCTGTAGTTAATTTTTTTATTAAATATTCTAATTCAAATAAATTAATATTTTAATACATATTTCCAACATGTTGATATGTATGACAATTAGTCTGAATTTTGTGAGTATTGTTATTAGTATGGTTACCAAATTTATTTATTTTTTCTGTAATGATGAGTCTTAGGTGATCTTTTGATTTTGTTCCACATGTGGTATCTCGGCCTTCCCTAGATTAGACAGAATTCCCAAGCAAAGTGACTTTTTAATTGTATATTTATCATCCAGTTATATAGTATATTGAGAGAGAAATGACTTTACAGTTGAAAAACAATTCTGTGATAAATCAACTTTAAATTTATTTTTTAAAACTCTGAAAGTAGATATGAACAATTGATTGGTTACATATTTTAAATAGACAGATATATATTTGTATGTATTTAAAATCTGACTTTTTTCAAATATTTGCCTGTAATTATCTAAATTACTTTGCTACTAATGTTACCATTAACCATTTAAAAAGAAAAATATTATTTTTTAAAAAATCATTGATATTTAGCTAAAATACTTTTTGATCTTTTAAAATCTAAATTCATGATTGAAAACCTAATTCTAACTTCCGCAGGGAAAACTGTGATTATACTGCTGAGATTATCTTGGAGCCACCCCAAAAATGTTTACAGAGAAGACAAAGCCAAAATTCTACTGATGATTGCTTAGACAAAAATCCGAATAGTTTCCATGAAAAACATTTAGAAGGTAGGAAGTTTCAGCTGTGTCTGTTGAGTTTAGATTTTAAAAGANTCCTGACAGTTAGAACAATTAATCAGTGGAACAATAGCAATAGCAGTTAGACTTATATACCGCTTCATAAGGCTTTCAGCCCTCTCTAAGCAGTTTACAGAGTCAGCATATTGCCACCAACAACAATCCGGGTCCTTATTTTACCCACCTCGGAAGGATGGAAGGCTGAGTCAACCCTGAGCCGGTGAGATTTGAACAGCCGAACTGCAGTCAGCTGAAGTAGCCTGCAGTGCTGCATTTAACCACTGCGCCACCTCGGCCATTCAACTTAAAATAAAGTTGTACAGTAGTTCTTTGCAAAGAAACCATCACATCAAAAACAGTCCTATCTACAAGGGCAGTGATTACCTGCACTCTCCTGCAGGACATTATCAGACAAATCAGTCTGAAAATCTTTTGTTCCAGTTTTAACCCTATTGATGAAGGCAGTAAGGGGGAGGAGAGAAATATCGAGTTACATTTGTAGAAGTCGGTGGTGACAACTGGGGCCGAATTTGGGAGAAAATTCCCTCCAAGGGACAACCCGAAGACACAAAATGAAAGTGGCTTGAAAAGGTGGGTCTTGAGCAGAGGTCTTCAAACTTGGCAACTTTAAGACTTGTGGACTTCAAGTTCCAGATTTTGGGACTTGAAGTCCACAAGTCTTAAAGTTGCCAAGTTTAGGGACCCCTGATCTTGAGAAAAGAGCCGTTTGGTTGCAGAGAATTCCGGCCAAAACGTAAGTTAAAGAAAAAGGAATCCTCTCCAGGCCGAGAAGATAAACTCTGGTCTCTTCTTGTACCTGCTTGGGCATCGTCACGGAGTGCGTGGATCCTTACAATCGCTATGACTAAGCGCCTGGCTCCAGTTAACGCATTGGGTAATTCCACCGGAGGCGTGAATTATTAGTCCCATCTCCCAATAAGAACATTGTCGGTTGAGGCTTCTCGCCTTTGTGTTTAGAAATAGCCACAAGCCGGGTGTCTCATCAGAAGCGAAAAGCAGATTAGGCGGCTCACTTTCCTTAGAAGAAAAGGATTTGGGAGCCCAGCGGGAGGTAAAAACGCCAATCCATTCGAGGCGGCAGGGGCTGCAAGCCTAACTTTGGCAGTGGCCGGAAAATTGCAAACAAGCGGATCTGGGACCGGGAATTCCAAGTCAATGCGCTGCCTGTCCTAAAATCCACGAGTTTCACGTCTTCAGATTACCTACGTCTGGGGTTGGACTTTTTTGCAGCGGCTCGCAAAGCCCGGGCAAGAAGTGAGACCTATACACAATGCATCGTTTTGCGTTCCCCTTATCGCTCTTCCAAGAAATCTGTTTTTCCTCCCCTCGGATCGCAGCTGTCGGGCTCCTGGTTCGGAGAAGTGGCTTTTGCCGTTTGTGATTTCCTGTTTCTCAAAGATTCCCCCCCCCCCAAACCTTTAGAAAACGCTCCCGCAAAGGCACAGACTGCATGGGATCCGTCGTGACATTATTTTTGGACCGCGCCGAAAATGATCGTTTGGATGAGGCTTCGCGTATTACTGCCAAGGCGGCTGACTTTTGGCTTACTTGGGAATCTCCGCCGTAACCGGTGGGGCTAAATCAAACGACAGTCGCCCCCTCCTCTTTTTCTTCTTGTCCAGTTCGACTCCGGGTGATATATTTTCTTCGCAACAAATACAGAAGTCGTTTAGGATTTCACCTTCCAGGACACTTTTGCTTTTCCATTTTTCTAGCTGCTTCGGGGTTTTCTGACTCTCTGCCATCTAACTACTTAACGTCGCAGAGCTTCCCAGTGAAAAGCAAACAGATCTGCCCACTTGCTTCGTGGGGGATGCTGCAAAAGGTTTGGTAAATTTCCCACTGGATTTTTTTTTTAACCTATAGATTCGGTTTTTACCGGAGGGGCGATGCGCAAGTGGACTTTCTTTTCCTGTTTCAGCTTGTATATATTACTCTTTTCCTTCCGGCATCACCTTTGCAAGCAGCAGGTGGGGAGGATCATCAACATCACTCTCGGGAGCTACGGTTAGATTTTTCTCTCCCACCCCCTTCCCGGCCCTGCCTTATTCAGCGGCTATTTCTCCTCGCTCACCCCGCCCCTCCTCTGCCTCTCCCCCCTCCCACGCGGCTCTTCTTTTTGCGTGGATGCCACTGACGGCGCGCGAGAGAAGAAGCGGCGGCGGCTGCAGGCTGGGAAATCCCTGTGCGTGATAAAGCAGCCGCTATTGCGGACTTCGTCCTTTTGGCGCGGCTGCAAAGGGGGGGGGGGACTCAGCGCAGAAACCACGGAGTTGGGGGGGGGGGAAAGAGGAGGGTTGAATCCGTTTCGGGGAATCTGCCTCTTTCCCGCTGCTGTACTCAGGTTCGCCATCCCGGCTCCGCCTCCCCTTCTCGGCGATCTCTCTTCGCAGCCCAGTCTCGGAAGGTGCCTTGAGGGTGGAAGGAAAAAAAGGCATCTACTCGAGGAGAAGAGGAAGAACCTGGAGGAGGTCTATTCCCCTGCTACCTCCGGACGGAGGGAAAGAGATTAATTCAGGGCCGCCGGCCTGACACTAAACTTTTATTGCAGTGTCTCCAGCCCGCCCCACTCTCGTTCTTGGACCCAGAAAGACTGCAACGCGCAGAGCGAAGGTCCTTCGCAGGTTGGCCACGCAGGAGGACCGAGGGTGGAAAAGACGCCATCTCTTGCCTGGGGCAGACACTGAAGGGCGCTTGGCAGGCGGCGGCGACACCTCCAAGACTGCGCGGCCCTCCGGGGTCTCGCTCCCCACCGCTGCTTGAGAGATTCTCCCGGGTTAATTAGCTTCTGGGCTGAATTGCAATTTGTTTCTTTTTTTCCCCTCTCTCGCTCTCTCTCCTTTCCTACTACCTCGGCCGGAGGAGACTCACTTTTACTTCGGCTTGATGTGCTGCCACGAGGCGGCCGACATGAGCTGACTTTAAAGGGCTTCTCCTTTAATAATAAGGATTGCGCGGCGGGACCCCAAAGATGATTAAATCCCCCATTGGGTGAGCCCATTTTTGCCCTCTGCTCCCTTCCCTTGTTCTCTTCCCCCCTCTCCGGAGAAGCCCCTTTCTTCCCACTTTGGGGGCCTCCCCCCACCTCGTCCCACCCGGGAACTGATGACAGGCCCACCCGTCTTCTTCGTTTCTGGACGCCTTAATAACTCTAAAAGGCCGGACGACCTCGGCCTCCAAATTCTCTCTCAAAGACTGGTTGCTGTGTGGGAAACTGGCGATTGAAGCGGGAGGAGAGAAGCCCGCCTCCCTCCCGCGCCGGAGCCTGGGAGCGCCCTGTTGGCCGTTTCTCGTCGCCCGGAGTCCAGCTTTTGCGTCTCCTTCCTCCCTCGCCTTTCTTGGCCGGTTATGCAGACTCCCGGTGGCTGCTGCGGCGGCGACCGCTACTAGCCCCCGAAGCTGGCTGCTCTGGAGCCGAGCGGTGGAAATGGTCGCTCCTTGCCAAACGGCGGGGCGAGAGCGCGAGCGAGTGCAGAGGGGGACGTCGAGCTTCTGGGTTGAGTGTGTGCCACGCGCGTGGGCTATCGGGCTGCTCGGCTCTCCACCGTGGAAGCCCTCCCGTCTCTAGATGGAATTAGTGGAGAGCGCAGCCCCTTGTGTAAGGAACAGACATGATCCATGGACGCAGCTTGTTTCACAGTGAGTACCGCTTCCCCGCCGCCCGCCTTGGACTCCGACTTGGAACGCGCTCTGCCGGCACTCGCGTCGGCCAACCCCTCTCCCCTCCTTTCCCTCATCCCCCCTCCCTCCGGCAAAAGGTTGTTGCAAACTAGGAGAAAGGAGATCAGTTGCGGAAAAGGTGAATGGCGTAGGTGTAAATCTCCCCCCTGCCGCCGCCTTAGACGCTTCCCCCTCCCGTTGCCCCCCCCCCCAATCGGAATCGCCAATCCAGGGGTCGAGCACCCTGAAACCTTGAACTACAGCCGTGAGGAAAACTCCTGGCTCTTAGATCCGGGTTGCGATCTAGAAGAATCCAGTTGGAGGCAAACCTGCCCCACAAACCCATATGCGGAAGGAGGAGGGCGGATGGGGCCGAGAGACCTTGCCCGCTATAAAACTTCCCTTTTGAAAAAAAAAAACCTTTATAACAGTTAAGCTAACCGAGATTTTTAAACCGCGCAAGAAGTCGGTGCATTCTGGAATTTGGCCAATTCTGGCCAGGTTTTGTGGGGGGGGGGGAGGCTATAGTCTATTACTTGCTCTCGTTGGGAACCTGGTTCTCTGAAATTCTCTGGAACTTACTTCTGTGTAACCAGGTTCAAAATCAGAATGGCCCTGTCCCTTCCCCTCATCTTCAGTTCCAGGTTAGATTGAGTCCCAGGTAGGCGTGAGGATGAGATTTTCACCGAGTGACCGTCCCTGGAGCCAGCTGTCTAAATTAATCCAAACTCATTAATTACTGACATCATTCAGGATTACAACAAAGGATGCCAGGTTTGAGTAGTTCTCTTCCTCCTCCTCCAGGAAACCCTGTTATTACATTAAAATCACTGGCTAGTGGTTACTCTAAAATTACAGTTTTCCTTAGGTTTCTTTCAGTATTTAAAATTCTCAAGTCGTGTAGTATAATCCTTTACTAATCTACATGGTTTCACAAATACTAGTGGAACTGGGATAATTTTTTTCATTTAATGGTACTTATATGCCCAATTCCATAACAATTTACTAAACAAATCCAGAAATATCTTTATTTATAACCCAGGTTAAATAATGAATGTAAATATGTTCAAACTTAATAGACATCTCAGCAAACATAGTACAAAACTGCCTCTAATACATCCTTATTGAAGGGTCAGTGATGGGTCCCTATATATATATATATATATATTAGTTTATTTTTTCTGTTCTCACTGGATATAGTACAGACAAGCATTAGTATCTTGAAGGAGGATGTGAATCAAAAAGCTTAATGGGATACTACTCTTAATTTTGGCTTTAAAAGAAAACTGCTTTCTTTCAAAGCATAGTGAATGGAATTTTTTGAGTCAGGATGGTAGTAGGTAAGATGTTCATTTTCTCCTTTTCTGTATTTGATGGAGGCCATAGAAAATAATTAGATGAAAGGAAAGGGGATTTAGCATTAATTCATTTCTAGTCAAGTGAATAATTTAATTGAAAAAGTTATTTGTAGTTAAAACCATCTGGTTAATATTCAAGTGCTCAGTAGCTAATAAGATTCATAATTTCTCCAATAATGTGCAAATAGATTCATACATTAAACAATATTAATCTCATTTGATTACTATTAAATAATTCTGCCATTAAATTGTATGGAGTGTGTCCATATCTTTTAATTTACATCATATCAATAGTCATCGAAAGTGTATTGGTTATTACTATGTCCATTTTTTTCAGAAATAGATGAAGCTGGGGGATTTCTTCCTGGCTTTGAATTATTGTAGCTATTTCAGTAATTCTAATTCAGGAATTTGGGGTTAAATTCTGTTAACACTTTGGAATAAACATGGTAGAACATTCTGCAAAGTAAATCTGAAAAGAATATTATAGTATGATTACGAATATATAGTACGTTATTCAACAGCAAACTACTCACCAGCTTCTCTTATGAACATCTAAATAAATCTTATGTCATCTATATACACTGAATTATCTCTCACCATACAAATATATACCTTCATCTAAATATCCATTAAAGGAGGCAAATATATTTTCTGGATGTTTTGGACTACAAATCCATGATGCTTATTGCTGATCAAGTTTCAAAACATTAAGAATGTAACAGGTTGACTTAATGCCTTACAGCGTCAATTTGATTCATATCAGTGAATGGAGTTAGGCATAAACAAATGATCACAGGTTTCCTACTTTAGTATAGAATTTTGTTTGTGACTTTACTTTCTCGCCTCAACTTCCTTCCTATTCTTGCCACAAATCATTCACTAAAGACAGAAGCAGGAGGGAAAGCAAAATGGTTTTTGATTGGTAATACAAAAAGTTCTCTGTTTGAAGTCTCCCAGTTCATAGAATAAGTGTCAAAATCTGTCTTTGAAAGAACAACATATAAATCATGGTTTTCTCTTTCTTGTTTTGGGATTGTGGAAATATTATATGCTCAGTCTGCCTATTTAAAAATAAAATTTAAATACTTAGTATATACCATGATGGCAGCTATTGTTTAGGAACAAGAAAATAAAATGACAACAGTAGATTTCAAGTATATTCTCACCCCTATGGCCTCTGTCTAAATACACAATTTTTCTCCTTCCTCTGTTTCTTAAATGTACTGATATAATTTCAAAACACTGAAATGTCTTTAAAGTGTTTTGGAAATCCAAGATGAATAATGCATTTAGCTAATAGCAGCGTTTCTCTTAACAGTATTTCTTACTAAATACATTTTTGACAGGACAGAAATCTTTTTGTTCAATCAATTTATTATACAGTGGTGTTTGTCTCAGAATATATTGCTGACTTCCAAAACAAAACTTTTCTTTCAAAGAAAAGTGGGTTATGTTGTTATTATGAAATATAAAATGAACAATATTTAACTCAGAATATCATGTTCTTCTCTGTACAGTTTATTATCTTTTTATAACCCTTACAATACCAAGGTAGGTTTATGAAACAGAATTAAAAGCACAAGAACTAGGCATGACAAAACGTGATTCCAACATTTTAAGAAGAGGATAATAAATAAAATAACGAGATAGCAGGTAATATCTAAAATTACTGAGGATCATATGTGGACAGAACTGATCAAGCATAAACTAAGTCTGTTTTAAAATAGAAAACCACTTCACTTGTTATTATACTATTAGAAGGCAAGGAAATTTGAAGTTTTAGAGTATAAGATAGCAAGACAGAAGCTGTTAGTATCCTAGAAGTATCCACAGTGGTTTGAGGAAAAATGTGAAGAGTTGAGGAACAATAACCTGTCAGGCTTCAGCACTTCTTCAGAACCAAAATAACATAACTTTGAAACAGAATTTGGAAGGGACATTGGAGGTGTTCAAGTCCAACCTCTTGTCCAAGGAAGAGATTATACCAAATGACTGTCCATCTCTTCTTAAACACATCCAGTGATGGAACACCCACAACTTCTGAAGGCAAGCCATTCCATTGATTAATTGTTCTCCCTGACAGGAAATTTCTCCCTAGGTTGGTTGTCTCCTTGACAAGTTTTATTTAATACTTCTTGTCATGTCCTAAGGTGCTTTGGAGAATAGGTTGACCCCTCTCCTCAGTAATTTATCTTTTAATATTACAAATGGAGGAATTTGTTAGTTTTATAGTACTATCAAGCTTCAATTCAGCCGTATTCATAACAACTACTAGTGGAAAGCCCGATGACAAATATTTGTAAATGGTAATGAAATTAGTGAAATGCCTATTATGGCCATACAAAATCAGGTATATAAGATCTGGTTGACTCAACCTTCTATCCTTCTGAGTTCGGTAAAATGACCTAGATTGTTGGGGGCAATATGCTGACTCTGGAAACCACTTAGAGATGGCTGTAAAGCACTATGAAGTGGTATATAAGTCTAAGTGCTACTGCTATTTGAATATTGTTTATCCTTTTTCTTAGCAGTTGCTGTCACTTTTAAATAATGCTTGATGATCTGTTGCAAGGTACCCTGAGAGGAAGATCTAGGAAAAAGTGGTAATGGAATTCTAAGATTGTAACTAAAGAAAATTCATAAATGATACATTTAAGTTCCCAGTAGTTATGAGGCAGCTAATTCTATGAAGCCACTAGTGGATACATAGGGGAAGACATTCTGAAGGTTATTTTTCTCTAGGATTTCTTTAAATTAATGCTTTTAAGTAGCTTACATGCATCAAAAATAAAAAAAATACTATGATCATAAGATGTACAGAATATCAGAAATAAGTTTTGAACTTTAGCAGCATATACCGTATTTTGTATTAGATGCACGTATTTCTTGATTGGCATACCTGTATAAATGGGGAAAGGGGAAAATTATGCTCAATGAAGGCACAACAGAGTTGGTGTAACAATGTCAGTGGACTCTAGATGTTAGAACTGAATAAGTGCATTATTATTATTCATCTAATTTTCTAAATACCCAGCTTGATTCTGCTGTAAATATATGAAATAAAGTTTCTTGGTTATTAAATTCATTTATTGGATGACCTTGAAGAAATACTAAAATGTAAGCCATAGAAAGAGTTAATCCATTCATGGGATTATTACAAATTTTGATTGTAGGAAACTATATAATGAAGGATTTGTATGAATGACCAGTTTTTAAAGCTCTCAAATGAAGCTGGCATTGATTCACAATAATTGCAGCTCTGTTTTAAAATGCAAATGCGTGCAATAGTGCTTTCAATAAGGATAAAATTTAACATTTCACATAAAATACATATTGGTAAATGGGCAACTTTACAGCTCTTGCATTTCCAATTGTAATAGCTTTGTAGCTTAGTAACTCCCATTCACTGCAACAACTATGATCTTTGAAGATCATAGACAATCCTTCTATATACAAAAATGCAAAGTGTCATTTGTACATTGTATATCCTAATGCAAATGATATTCAGTAAGCAGCTATTTGGTGAAAATGACTCTGACTATAATATCAAAAGACATACCAGTCTACAGAAATGGTGCTTATGCAACCATTACTTTGTTCCTCTTGTCAAGTATTGTCTTTGATAAGGTTTGCTAGCTTCCTACCTCAAATAGGTTTCTTCTAAGTGTATGTTCATTACTGTATAGGACTACTAGATCTGAGCTTAAAGCTCTGGATACTACTAGGTGAGAGTAAAGAAATAGAGAAAACAAGAAATATTAACTTCCATTTATAGTTAACCAGTTTTTTCAAGTCTGGATTATTCAGTCTAGTTCAGAAGGCTGGGTGCAAAACAATTTACCATTATACATTAATCTAACTGCAGAGCAAAAGAAAATGAAGGTACAATAGCCAGTGTAAAATAATGAGGAGGGCCAGATATGTGAAATTATTGTTACTAGCACTGTTTGTTTATTTCAGTGGAAAATTTAACAATTTCTGAATTGGTAGTTAATGTACAAAATAGTTAACTTGCCAAAATAGTTTCAACAGAATTTAAAGAGGTATCCTTTGGGAACAGAAAATGCTGTACAAACAATCAAAGGGAAACTTCACTTGTAAACAATAATAGATATGAGACAACGTACATGCCCAACAGACCAAGTCACATTAGATCTTCAAGATACTGTTTAGATTGTGTTTGTTTAGATTGTTTTGTCCTTATTATGAGAGTAAACAGTGATCAAATTAGCTAAAAATATCTGTTTTTAAAAAAATATATATATTAAAGATAGATAACACTGGAAAATAAGATTAACTGAAGTTAAGATTTTAAATCAATTGATAACATGTTAGTTTGGAAACCTCAGTATTAGAGTTCAACTCCCAGTCATAGTTATTTGCAGTAGAGGAAATAGTGAATTGTATCAACTGGAAAGTAGCATTCTGTACTAGCTGAATCTTCTAGATCTGGGATGATGAACCTATGGCACAGGGAGCTATTTGTTAGGGCACACGAGGCATGCATGTGCTGGCCAGTTGACTTCAGCCTTTTTTTAGGCCATTTTTCGTCCTCCCCAGGCTCCAGAGGCTTTATAAGAGCCTGGGGAGGGCAAAAACAGCCTCTGGAACCTGGGGAGGGCTCACGTCTACAGATGGTGGATATGGTCTCACAGAGAGCCCTATCTACTGCTTTTAGATACATAGCCTCATAATGGCAATAATGCAAGATATTGGAATGAAAACTTGTAAGAATGGAGTTTGTCATTATACAATTATGTTTGTGTGTTGTCATTTTGACACTCTCTTGATTTGCTGCAGGTGACTATGTTCTCAATAGTCTGGTCAACTTTGTCAGTGGTATGAGAATTGTATATCAGGAACATTTGAGGGAGGACAGATTGCCTGGCTAAATCCATCAATATATTATTCAATATTCCTATGGCTAGTTAAATGTCATCTATCGCTAAGTATAACCATAGCTATAACCAGTATAACTATTTGATTTGCAGATAACTGACATAGTTAATACCAAAAGCTCAAAAAATATCCAGTTTTTTTTCTTTCAAATCTGTAGTGTAGATTTATGCAGAAGTAAATTCCACTGATTTTTCTGCGACTTATCCCATGAAAGTAGAATAGGATTGCAGCTCTGGCTATATACAGTATTTAAATGGTGTCATCTCAATGTATCTCTTAGTAAATTCTGAGCACTCATGAATCAAAATGATTCATGCTTAAAAGATAAATCCATTTATTCCTGTTGCTGTGTAGTTTTTACTATGAATATGTAGTCACTCTGTTTACGATTACTATGTTCTTATAAAAAATAAGTGCAACCAAACAACATATACTGTTTGTTCTTTCTTTAGCATTTCCTACTTTGGATTAAGGTTAAGGATAGGGCTGTCCTAACTAATTTCTCATTACAACTATGTTTTTATTTTCCAGTTGTAGCAAGTTTTACCATCCTACACTGGGCTGGGGCAACAAAAAAAGGAGCAGGTATGTTTTTAGAAGAAAATATTTCTATGAGCTGGTTTTGTTTAAAAATGTTTAAAACTTAAAATGATTTACGTTTTTCCACAAACAATTTAGTAAGGTGGGGGGGATTGTAGTGCTTGGTGTTATGAACAGGTTTATTCGATTTCGATTTATTATAATTTATAGGCCGCCCTTTTCCCTGAGGGGACTCAGGGCGGCTTACAAAAACACGGGGAAGGGGGTACAAAGACAAAAAGCATAAGACAATACATAATATTAAAAATAGAGCACAACATTCATTCATCATTCGGGAGGGGAAAATAGTCAAGGCAGGCTATGACACTCAATATTGAAAACACATGTCTTATTTCCAAATGTAGATCAGCACTGAAACATGTTAACCAAAAATTAATGAATATTTTTTTTTAATTCCGTGCAACTGTAGGTCTAGCATGTTTTTGTTTAAATCAGAAGGCCAAAAACAGATAAAATAATATCCTAAAAACTGAATCCTAAAATAAGAGTAACATTTCAATCACATCCTGGCCAACAATTTTATTGCAGTTGGTAAACTTAGAAATGGATGGTTACATTTATGGAAGCAATGAATTTCAAGCTCAGAAGACATAGAAAGTGATCTAGTACAAATAGAAGAGAATATTTGTAGCTTACGGTTGAACTATGGAGTCTTTGGTACTGTCTGAGCTTGGATATTTGCTCAGAGACATTTCTGTAAAAAGATGGATTGGTGACATTACAAACATTTATGCTTCTTGGCTTGGAAAATATGAATGAACAGGTGCTGCTGCTACTTTCAAATGCAAAACAAGCATTTCATCTCCAACGGTTCCTTTCTGGCTAAGAATACAAATGGAATTCCTAACTCACAGATAACTTTAAAAAAAATGCTGTTAGTAGTTGACTGGAATATTAAGTAACAAGAATTTTCTGATCTGATCCACAAATTTCACTGAGCCAATTCTATCAAAGTTTATGGAGGAAACGACTGACTGGTTTAGAACATGTGTTGAGCTATAAAGCCTACTTTGCAAAGTCTGGGCTTACAAATCACCACAAAAACTAAACCTACCATATTCTGGATTAATGTGATATGTGAACTCAGCCAACTTTAAATATTAATTACTATACAACCAGTATTGCCTATCAGCTCATCTAAAAGATGGATTCCTAAAGGTATAGAATTGCTGAAAAATGATTCTGACAGAATTAAAAACGGCAAACATAACACAGATATGAAGCTTTCTTAACAAGTAATAGAGGAAAAAAATAATTTACATGTTTGATGCTGTTTTAGTACAGTTGGAATCCTAAATATCCAATGTAATTCTAATCTGATATAATTATAAGTCTATGAAATACAGCTAGTCAAATTTCTACGAAAATCCAAGAAAAAAAGAAACTTCTTAATAAGTAAATAGCTATAGATTGTCCTCAGAATGCAACAGTAATTAGAACTAGGACTGCTGTTGCTAATTGATCCATTAGTAAAGTGTGAATCACATGACTTCACCACCTAGCGACAAAAGTCCCAGCATTCGGTTGCCATCATTAAGCAAGGACTTCATGTGAATGAAATTTCTGATTTCCTGCCAGTGTCTGTATTGACTTTGCTGTGGGGAGCTGGCAGGTAATGTCAGAAACTGAGAGATAACCATGAGCTAGGTGTTGAAGACTCAGATCACAATTACATGACCTGGGGATATTGTGACAGCCAGAACTTCAAGGATACGTCCTCCTTGTGTTCGGTGCTGTCACAAGTTTGAATGGTCACTGAATGAGTGGTCATAACTCAAGAACCACATTTATAAAGCTTAAAAGTAAGTAAACTCATTCTCCTTCCTGGCTATAGATACGGATTACAGCAAGAAACTAGGAGGTATAAATTGTTTTCAATACTTGTTGCCTGGACATATTTTGAGTAATTTTTTCCGCCTATATATAATTTATCTCATACTATTGCCACACATAACAGAGTTAGCTTATTATTCAGAATATTGTTAGGTACTTTATAAAATATTTTACTGAATTAAAGATATATTATGTCCCCAGCTTTCCCATGATTTCCTGTAATTAACCTGGTAGGCTTTATTTTTGACAGTCCCATGTTTCCTATAGGATTTCTAGGAATTGAATTTTTTTATGTGCCATAGAGTTTTCCAACCTACTGACATGAGATTTACTGATCTACCAATATCCCGGATCTTCTCTGTTTCACTCCCCCACCCTTTTTTTTTGGCTTCTGACATTTCATGTTTTGCAGCTTTTCCTAAATTCAAAATACAGTCTGAGAATCTATGAGCAAATTCCTTCAGCGCCTAGGATGTAATTCATTTGGAACAAAAGAAATGAACTTTACTCAAAAGTTCTTAGATACTCCCTAAGATTTTTTCTGTCATTTTGAAATTTTTGGCCTGCCCCTGCAATCACCTCATCATGCTTACTTAATAGAAACAGATCCTTTTCTGAGGAAAAAATAAAAGATATTACCTCTGAACAATTTGTCAATTTCTTACACAATCAGTTTTCTGCTCCTTTTTTAATTGCATGTATGTAAAGACAACTTTTTCTGGCCATCACGTTTAATCTTTGCAATTCTGGGTTTCTTGTATCTGCTTCTTTCATAATTAGTCTTTCCTATCCCTTCTATATGTGTTCTTTCTCATTTTTTGATTACTTATGAGCTTTTTGTGCTGCTGCATGGACTTCCTTTATTTCCCCCTTTCCTCTCTAATTGGAATTTTTTATGATTGCATATTTAATATTTCCTTTTTTAGAAACTTCTATTAATATCAAAATTTTATTCTATTAATTTTTCATGCAAGAACAGGCTATTATCATTGTTCTGAGTTTATTCAACTCACCTTTCCTTGCAGCCCAAGGAATATTTTTTCTCACTTGTCTTTATATTTCTTAAGTCAAATACTCTACCATCAAAATCTTGCCTCTCCCAATATATCCTTTCATATTACTGATTTCTTATTACTATTTTCCCCTCTAGTGGTTAAATTACATTGCATCAAATCAAAGAAAACCAATTGCTTTCCACTTTTTATAAAATCTAGTAACCAAAACTCAATAGGAATTTCCTGGAAATCCAGCAATTGCATCTTACAAGATAACATTGTGATTAAATCTTCTCATTACCATTACAACATTCTCTAATTTGATTTTGGAAAATGTCATCCATAGCTTTTTCTGATTGGATGGTTGAAAATCAGATCAGATCCTTTCAGTTGTGTTTCCATGCTATATTTTTTTGGGGGGGGGGGATTTTATATAGGTAGAGATTTTTTTAAAATTTATAATGTAATTCCTTCTTCAACATACAGTGCATTTGAGTTTCAGGAGTATGATGAAATTTTGATACTTTGTATATGTGACAGTATCAGTAATCAGTAATTATTTTTTTCTAGAAATGCCATAATTTTGCATCTGTTATACATGCACACTACTGTGCTATTTTCAGGCAGAAGAATAAGGCTATAACTATATAACATCCTATCCTACTGTGTTTTGTTCTTGCAGATTCTGACATTGTTATTATTATTTTAAAATTCTGTTTGATATCTTATATTGCCTTATAGCTGATAGAAGAAAATATTTGCTAAACTGAGGGGTCTTTGGTGCTTTCTGAGCTTGTAATGAACATTTCATTACCAAACTAGGTAACATCATCAGTGGTATAGGCATTGTGCTAGCATTGATCATGTTACCTAGTTTCATAATGAAACATCTGCAAGAAAACAACCAAGCTCAGAGAGCACCAACTACCCCATATTCCTTTGAAGTGCCCTTTCTGGTAGTCAGTATACTTTTGACTGCCCTATCAGGCTCTACTAATAAACTGTTTAATGTCCCAAAGCATTTCTAAAAGTTTACACTTGGAATTTCTTCCCTCTTGTGTAACTGTGGAAAAAGAAGATATCATCTTTGAGGTTGAATTAATAAACACCGACCCTGATCCTATGGCAGTGTTTTTCAACCTTTTTTGTGCAAAGGCACACTTTTTTCATGAAAAAAAATCACGAGGCACACCACCATTAGAAAATGTTAAAAATTTTTAACTCTGTGCCTATATTGACTATATATAAAGTGTTTTTCCCACGGCACACCTTACACTATGTCACGGCACACTAGTGTGCCGCGGCACAGTGGTTGAAAAACACTGTCCTATGGCATACGTAGGAAGTTGTAGCAGACTACAGGTGAAAACAAGTGATTGCACATTGTGCATTTAAGCCAAAACATGATCTCATCTTCTCTCCCCCCCCCTTTTTTTTCTTCAGAAAAGCAAAGCAGTTCAGAAGGACAAAAGACAGTTCAGTGTGGAGTGTGGACAAAATACGCAGAAGGAGGTATTTTCACTTCCCCGAATTATCCCAACAAATATCCTCCTGACAGAGAATGTGTCTATATTATAGAAGGTAATCGAAGACATTCCTCTCTCTCTCTCTCTCTCTCTTTCATTGTTCTACTTTCTGCAATGATTATTAAACTTAACCATTTCAAAAACAAGAGCTTAATTTATCTAGTAAGATTATATAAATGTTCATATTTGGAGAGGGACATTGTATGAAAACTTTGTATTCATAGAAAATGCATACGTTTCTGAAAGACCACAGAAGCTTGCAAGCTGATAATTAAATAGAAAGCATTCTCTTCCATTTTTAGACTTAGTAATTTGACAATAAGATTAATGCTGTTACACATCACTCTAATTTTTTGTGGTTGTTTTTGTGTTATAAGAAATGGAATGTTTCATAATATGGTTAGACTTTTGGCAATAATTCAGAATTGTTCACAGCAAATCCAGGTCAGTCATAAAGCGTATCAACAGGAAGTTGTAGCCAAATCATTCTTTGTAAGAAATATGTTTGTATTATGTTCACATTATATAGTTCCAGGGTTGCTAAAACATTTAAAGTATTTTTAAAAATGTGATACGTAGCATAATTTGCCCTTACATGGACTGCTTTAAATTCCTTATACTGATTTTATTACAAAAAAGAGGCCTCTAATAGATTGGAAGCTATATTTAATTAGCAGACAATCATGTTTTTATGGTACTTATTCTTTTACGTTTGTGGACATTATGATGGAGGCTTGTTAATTTAAATGCACATATATAACATTATCTACTTAAACGATAATTCATTCATTCCTCTCACATATAAAGGGAGAAATAATATTATTTGAAACAAATATTATTTTGACTCCTCTTGTTCAATTACATTTTAAGAAAAAAATATAAATTTGAAAATTATTACAGGTAGTTCCTGAGCCCAAAATTTCAGCCCAAAATTTTTATTGCTAACAACACAGTTGTTAACTGAGTTTTGCCTCATTTTATGTCCTTTTTTGTCAACCTTGAGCCGGTCAGGATCAAATTCCTGGCAGTGGGCAGTGTTTTAGCCTGCAATACTGCATTCTAACCACTGCGCCACCATGGCTCTTAACTTGTAACTTTGAATGGTCACTAAATAATGGTTGTAAGTAGAGGACTACACCTGTAGGGTATAGTCAGTTACATTATCCATATAGTAAGATGTACTAATTTTTATTTTTTATTAGCAAAGGTTCTAAATTTCTTTAGGTAGTAGATATCTTGACTATTTGAAAAAGACACGAATTTGTTCCAAAGTACATTGGACAAATCTTATTCGCTATGATTGTAATGCATAAATTACATTTTTCATAAAGGGCTAGGATCCACCTTTTTATAATACTGATTCTGACCTTTATTTCTGTAATTGGGCTTGAACAACTTTAGCCAAAGAACTTCAGCCCTTTATAATATATATATATATATATATATATATATTAGTTCTCTGCTTTGAGGCTGTGAATTCTAGTTCCACCTTAGCCAGAAAACTGGCAGAGTGACTTTGGGCTAGTTACTCACTCTCAGTCCAACCTGCCTGAGTTGTTGTGGGGAAAATAGGATGAGGGAGGAATAATAAGTATGTTTGCCAGCTTGAGTTACGTATGAAGTAATAAATGTAGAATTTAAAAAGTAATAAATAAATAATAATTTTAAAAGTCCTAGCTGAAATATTGGTCGTGATTTAGTGTTTTGGTCTCAATCATATCTAGATAAAGACAACAGTATATTACAATAACATCATACAGTCTAAAAAAAGTTTTCATTTTTTTATATGATGTGAAAATGTGTAATATGAAGAAATAACTTGGTCTGGGATGCTTTTTTTTATATTTTGGGAATAAAGAAAATAGGGCTTCTGAAAGAGTGAAAAATTTATCTTTACCTCCTCAATTTAACTCCTAATTCAATTTCCCATACTTTAACCTTTCATTGTTATCCACTTCAAAGTTTGTATAATTTTGCTGTAATGCCCACATATAAATACTAAATAAGAATTTAATATTTGCTTAAAATGCATTAAAAATAAAAGAGCTTGGGTTCTAACTTCAGACTGTTGCAAAAAAAGAGGAGAATTTAATTCTGTCCATTGTACCTAATCTAAATTGTGTCAAAATGGATTTTTATTGCTTTTTAGATTTTGAGATTCATTTAGCAATGAAGTATTTTAAATCCCAAATTCCTTCTATTAGGTTGCTCACTGCTGACTAATGGGAGATATCAAGAATTATTCCAATCCATTTGTGTGATACTGGCTCCCAGTTATTCAGGAAAGATGTTTAGATCAATCAATCAATCTTAAAATGAAATAGATTTTTTTTTTTGCTTAGTTTCATCTGTCAGCTTCATGAAATTACAGGCTGGTAAAAATTAAAGCCTTAATTGTATGGGCCTCTTTCATTGCATCTATTCCTCTGCTTCTTGTTAGAACCCCAAGTCTTTTTAAGCAGATGTAAAACCTCAAGGCAGCACTTCTATAAGATAATTAGATGAAAAAGATGACAAGACATGCAGGCATTAAGCAATCTTTTCCATGTTATTAGGACTCTTTGAAGAAAGGTAATTAGAACCTAAATTAAAAAGATTGCTAAGAGTTCAAGTAGTAAAAGCTCATTGCACAACAGCTGTACCACACAACCACTGGAGTTTGCAACATTTTCTTGTTTATTTGCTTTTACTATTACTAGAGAGATAAAGAAAGAAGAAACGATCACATATATTTTTTCTGAGATGACACTTGCAATATGGGCCGGTGGAATGAATGAATAAATATGAATAGATAAATGTGTTTGTGTGTGTGTGTATGTATGTATGTACTGGCCCATGTTACAGATGTGTGCAAATATTTGCAGTGATTTTCCTTCAGGGTGGTAAAATTGCTCTTTGAGAACTAGAGATGATGTTTAGGAAAAGTAAGGAAGTAAAACCTTAGCAAGATTTCTTAGGATAGTCTACTGTACCTGAATTGCAAAATCAGCATAATCACTAAACTGCATTGAACTCCCAACTTTGCTGCAATCAATTAACTACTGAAGATTTGCATTAATCATCACATAATTATTTTGAGCCTAGTATTATTTTGCATAAAAACAAGAAACGTCCTCATTAAAATAGATATCCTTTTGTGATTTTTTTTAAAACTCTCCAAATTTGAGTGATAAAGAGAAAGCTTTCTAGAACAAATCTAATATTATCTGTTTCTTGCTTTTCATTTTGTGTGTGAACCTATTCCTTGACTGGGAGCGTAAAAGGTTCTTAGTGTTTCAGAGTAATTCAATCTGTTTTGTTTATCCAGAAGTTCAGTTCTTAATTGAACAGATTCTACATGTGAAAGTTGAAATACTTTGATAGTTAACATCTCTAGAATGCAGCTCTGTGCATGCCTATTCAATGAACACTAGCGTGTGCAGTATGTCTGCTTTGGTTTATCTGTCAGCAATACCATCCTGGTAATTAAAATGCATTTTTAACTTGAAATATTAAATCAAAATGGCTAAGACGCTGAGCTTGTCAATCAGAAGGTCGGCAGTTCAACGGTTCGAATCCCTAGTGCCGCGTAACCGAGTGAGCTCCTGTTACTTGTCCCAGATTCTGCCAATCTAGCAGTAAAGATGGAAGTAGAAAAATAGGGAACACCTATGGTGTACGGTCAATCTTTGGTGTTTAGTCATGCCGGCCACATGACTACAGAGACGTCTTCAGACAGTGCTGGCTCTTCGGCTTTGAAATGGAGATGAGCATCCCTAGAGTCAGGAATGACCAGCACATATATGTGCGAGGGGAACCTTTACCTTTACCTATTAAATGCAAACCTTGTTTCCATTGGCTGAAGTTCTTCTTGAACAATACTTAAGATCTTCCAGAATACTTAAGCTGACGTGAAACTAATATGAAGCTTCCCCACCCTGCTGTGATTCCCAATGACATCTACTGTACCTTGCAGTTGTAGAGGGTTTCCTAATTCTCAAGAACAAATGGGTCACAAAAGGAAGCAGGAGAATGAGGAGAACAAATGGCATTTCCATATATGGACATCTTCCATTGTTTGAAAATTCTTCCATTGTTAGCGAAGCACATTTGCGTGATTCATTAGTGACTCAAAATGTCAGTGTATTTGCTCTGTTTTTCATTACCAAATAGATTGCAAAAGCCAAAGAATGTAATCTGGTTTTGGCTTCTGCATTTGACAAATGACAGATGTAACCTGTATGTGGGAATAGGATGCAGCCAGTTCAAATAATAGATGTTGCTTTCCACATTAAGCTTTAGATAAAGGGAAGAATTCTCTACAAGTCCCCAGCAGAAATAAAGTTTAAGTCTAATCTACAATGCTACCAAGTTAACATCTCTTTAATCACTTTTAATGTTTCCATTTGGTTAAACATGAAAGCATGCAAATTTGTGAAAGCAAGCTCATTAGGCAGCTATATTTGGGCTACTTTTTTTAAAAAAAAAAAGCTAAAGAGCCAGTATTTGAGTTTTCTTTCAACATTACTTCTGCTTTACCATTGCATAATAGGATTTCAATTCCTATGCTGTTTAATGGATCAGAAAATATGCTGAAAATTCTGTTAGTTGGGAAATTTCAGAAGTGTTTGACAAAATAGTGCTGCACTATGGCGCTAATATATATTTATATGAGAGGAGCAGACTTTATGAACCTTTTAGAACTATTTGAAATTTAGTGAGAACATGGCACCATAATGGATAGTTTTGGGTCTTGTTTCTTTAACTGAAATATCTTATGCATGAATGAGATTTAGATGACGCTCAAGATCACAGAAGGCCACAGTACAGCAAGACTAAAGGTAGATCTAAAAGGTTCACCAACTGTTTTATCATTGTAGGACTCTATTGCTACAACAAAAACATAAACATAGATGTTTCTGAATGTAGTTGCTACTTAGGCCAGCCATTACAAATAACACTAGCAATATCACTTGTACCGTTTCACAGAGCTTTACAGCCCTTTCTAAGCAGTTTACAGAGTCAGCATATGGCCCCCCAACAATCTAGGCCCTCATTTTACTGACCTTGAGCCAGTCAGAATCAAACTTCTGGCAGTGGACAGAATTAGCCTGCAATACTGAATTTTAACCCCTGCACCATCAGTTTTTCAAATAAACAAATATACATTTTCTTTGCTTTGTAAATCTCTTTAAAGAAAAAATAATAATTACAGCAAAAGAAGCAGCAAAGGAAGAGTTAGACGCTTATGCATATTTTTTTAGCAACTAGGCCATACTGTTCCCAATTTTACTTATCCTACAATGCAGAATCGAAGAATTTTTTTAAAAAAGTAAGCTTAGTAGGAAAACCACTGATATTATTATTGAAATGCGTTCTGTTTATGCTTAGTAATAATAGCTCTGAGTAGAGTAAGTTACTTTGCCTGAACAAAATCTCGAGACCCATAAAATGCTACGGTACATAGTTTAAAAACATTTGGTTTGGAAGCAAATACATTTCAGTATATAAAATTATGGAAATACTTTGTTTTATTTTTCAGCTGCCCCAAGACAATGTATTGAGTTGCACTTTGATGAGAAATATTCCATAGAGCCTTCTTGGGAGTGTAAATTTGATCATATTGAAGTGCGAGATGGACCTTTTGGATTTTCTCCAATAATTGGTCGTTTCTGTGGACAGCAAAATCCACCTAAAATAAAATCCAGTGGCAGATTCTTGTGGATTAAATTTTTTGCTGATGGCGAACTTGAATCTGTAGGATTTTCTGCACAGTACAATTTTACACGTGGTAAGTAAAAATTTTAATAATTTTTGAGGAAAATATTTTAGTATTTATAATGATAGACTTTAGAAATATTATAAACTTATGTAACAATATAGTAAAATTAAAATGCTAAAATTTTAATGTATTGATAATGGAAATACAAAGAAAATGCTCTTTCCCCCCTCAGAAAATAGATGCTTCTTTTAATCTGCACTTTGCATTTATACTGAGTGATTTTATTTAGTTAACTGGCTGTTTATAAATAATTATTTATTTTATTTAGTTAACTGATATATTTATAAATCATCCCACTCATGGTGATATATATATTGTGAGACAAAAAATAAATAAAGCAATAAAGCAAAATAAAAGTACAAAAATAGGAGCCAAAGCTTTCATTACAAGAAAAGTCTTTTTTAAAACCTGCAATTATGATGCCTAATGAAGCATAATAAAGGAAATGTTGTTGTGACCCCAATCCAGGAAGTGATTTTATAACGGCAGCATTTCTAACAATGTTGAAATCCTGGATGCACAGATGTTAGAAATAAAGCTGGGTCCAAAATTTCTCAGGCTGGTAATGATCATTATGTCAACAAATCTGGTTTTTTTATGACCTTGAAGACAACAGCCAAAGAACCTTTAACTTGGAAAGACAGGAGGAAAAAGCTTCACACTTAATCCCTGTAGCACAGGCATATATAGGCAGTGATTCTCTCCTGCAACATGGAGGTAATTTATTTTATTTTTTTGTAGTTGGCTTCATTCTTCTCTGCACTAAACTATCTACACTGGCTAAGTGGTGCCAATTCTAGAATAAGGGAAGATTTTGGATTTGGAATTGTGCTAGGCTGAATCATGACAGTAGAAATTTCCAATGGTAGTTGCAAATTCTGGGCAAGTAGTATAAATTGAGATAATTATCTAGACTGTTGCAGTAACCTAAGAGAGGACCTGGCTAGTGGAATGTTTTTAATAAAAAAAAGCCGAACAGAAGCCTACAGTAGCATTCTGATTTAATGAAACATTGAGATGGAGGGATATCCATTAATTCCAGTTGTCCATTAAATACAAATGTAAGTAATTTACATAATTGGTATAAAAAGCATCATTTGCAGTAAAATGTCCATTTAACAAGCAGACTGTCAATTTAAACATCTTTTAGTGGGATTGGGAGCCATGAAAAACATGAATCCTACACCTGTTAAGCCATGGACCATTGAAGCAAGTTTAACTACTATGATTTTAGCTGGGTAGTAATCATTGATAGAGTGCAATATATTTATATATTTATGCTGGGAGAATTATGATCATGCGGAAGGAAAATAATTGAAATGTTCACTATGTACAGTATTAATCCTCGTCATAACATATTAATTTTGTATATGTCGATCTTGTCAGCATCACAGTCAGCTACGAAGTTATAAGTGCAATTAATTATATGAATGTATTTTCAGTAAGTAATATTCCCCACATTAGAAGTGGAAATATGTTTTAACATCATCTCAAGAAATGTTGTATATTCTAATAAGAAAAAAAGGATTTCAGCTCCTGCTGTACTTCTCTCCTTTGAAAATTGTCTTTTATTACAAACAAAAAACTACTGTCGTGATTTTTTTTCTGTCTTTTAAAAACTGCAAATGGTTTTGCCAGAGGAATCCAAGATCCAAAGCATAGGATGCTTTCAATTAAGCAGTTCTATGTAATCATCTTAATTGTTGCCTTTCAATTCTGTCTTTCATCAAATTGTCTGATTTTACTTCTGAAAGCAAAAGAGTACCTGCAGTCAGGTTTGTGATGAAATTTTGCAGTAACTTGCAGGAGCTATCAGAGATTTCTAAAAGATTTATTACATAGAGTGAGTAGTGCTACATTCTGGATGTATGTCAATAACCTCCATATATATCTCCTAGTTGGAGAACTGCGAGCATCAATATGCTGGCTTTCAAGATTGTATCTAGAATAAAGATTGTAGCTTGTGTAGAATAGATTTATTTATAAGGGGTAAAGCTGGATTTTCATTCCAGTTGTAGCCAAAATGACTGATATTCCCTAATGTATACAGCCTGGGTATCATTAAGATTGATAATCTAGTGTATACCTTTTCTGTCTTATTAGAAGGCATATGTTTGAAAGTTTCAATTTTATCAATGCCACAGAAGAGCAGTAAATTGCTGATTTTTTTTAAAAAAGTATGTTTCCTGTGAAACTAAGAAAAAGAAGAGGTGCAACAGAGCTGAATAAAGATGGAGTTACAAGCAGAGAAGTGAAGGTAGAGGTTTAACCATGAATAAAAGTGGTAAAAGATGTGTCAGAAAATATGAATGGCTATAATTATTGTGGATGAGAGTGAAGGTAGAATCCGTAGGTTGGTGATACTTTCATGTTAAATTACAGTGAATTGTTATAATGAAAAATTGGGGGAGGGGGCCCGGAACCAAGGATGAATTATGGGGAGAGGAAGAGAAATGTACAACATTCTGAATGAAATTGAACCAAGGGGAAAAGTGCTTTTTTGTTAGTTGAACTGAATGAGAAAAGAATGCATCATTTTTAAAAAAATGACTAGGCTAAATTTTGACACCCAATAATGAATGTCTGATGATTTGGTGTATATTGGCTTTAAGAAAAAGTGTCTTTGGAGTACATGGTTAAACCTTAAGCCTGATGATAACCTACACATGAAAAAGGATTGCTTTGAGAAGCATGGTATATTTTAGTTTATGATAAAAGACTAAAAGACTTAATAACGGATACCAGGACAAGAGGTTCTAACAGAATAATTTTTGCACAAATTTGACATCTAAGAGAAGAAAAGATGTTAAAGAATCTAGAATAAAATAAGACTGCAAGAAAAGAAAGTGTAAATCTGCAAGGAACAAAGGAAAATAGATTAAAATCACAATAAATGGAAGTAGACGTAAGGAAAAAGCATGTAGAAGTTACTTGGAAAAGAATAAAAAAAGTTACAGACTGTCACAGCCATCAGCTGGAAGATGAAGTGGACAAGACTATGAATGAGGAAAAAAAGAACACAGAAAAACGATGGGTGCAAAAATGACAAGGAAATATATTTCACAATGTGTATAGAAAGAAAAATGTACTTCCAAAGAATGCAGTCAAAGTAAACCAGAACCAAAATTTAAAGCAGCAATGAAAATGCAGAGCAATATTGATAGAAGGAAAATTGTTTTGGATTTTGATGAAAGAACTACTGTGTTTCCCTGAAAATACAACATGTCCTGAAACTAAAGCCTTGCCACATTTTTCAGATGGGCAAAAATATAAGCCCCCGCCCCCAAAATAAGGCCCTTGGACAACCCCCCCCCTCCGGCGAGGCAGAGCATTGCTCACCAATTTAGCGGTATCCCGAAGGCGCCAAGCCGCGGGAGCCAGGGGGCTGAAGAAAGGCACTCGTTGCTTGGCACCTTCGGGAAACCGTTAGGTTGGGGGTGGCGTTCTGCCTGGCTGGAGGAGGGAGTTGTCGGGCAGCTGCTCCCTTGCGAGCGGGCTCCCGAAGAGCCAGGCACAGCTCAGGGGCGAAACAGCCATGAGGTGACCATGCCCACGAGCCCGGCTCTTCGGGAGCCTGTTTGCAAGGGAGCAGCTGCCCAGCAACCCCAAAACAATAAGCCCCCCCTCTAATAAGCCAAAGGCCATATTTTGTGGGTCAAAAAAATATAAGACCCTGTTGTATTTTGGGGGAAACACGATAAATAAGGAGCCTCCAGTAGAGTGAATGAAATCAAGAATAAAACTAGTGAAGTAATTTAGGATGAAACTGAAATTAACTCTGAAAGAACTATTTTATTAGGGAACCATAATGGTACATAGCTTCCTGGAACTATAACAAAGAATGTTTAATAAAAATAAATAAATGAAGAAAGTTCTAAATGCTGTGAGAACATTGAAAATGGTAAGGCTCCCAGATGCATGTTAAGAAGCGTTAAAATTTGTTTGCTTCTGGAGTAGTTGTGTTACTTAATAGTTTAATATATGGAATGCTTAGTTACTGGTTCAACACTGAACAAGGAATAAATGTATTTATAGCTAAGTGTATAAGGAATATTAGTGAATATTATAGCTAAGTGTATAAGGAATATCAATATCAGACACTATCAGAATATCAGAAATGCATATGTTCAGATAATTTAGTCATATGCAGAGAAAGAATGATGGCAGAACTTCCAAACAACCATATGATGGAGAAATGAAAGGATTGTGAGAAATAAAAGACGGAAAAACCATAGCTAGTTGGACTTGATGGCATCCTCAAAAATGTGAGAGTTGAGAGGTTTAAAGAAGAAAAAGTATGAATGTACTGGTATATAGAACGGTAGAAGCAAGAATGGTTGCTAGGATAGAAATGTATGGAGAAATAAAATGAATAGTAATGGTGCAACTAAATTTGTTTATATTTCATTTAATATATTTGGCTTATTGTTTATTACTTCTTTCTACAGTGTTACTTACCATGAAATGGTGTGGTTAGATGAATATGTATGAATAGTATGTACTTATATATGAATACTTTTGACAATGTATGCTATTGTTATAAATTTTGATTCATTGCTTTTCCATGGAAGAACTATGTGTTATCAGGCTTATTTTAGCTATAATTCCCATAATCACTAGGTGTTTTTTCATCTACCACTATGAAGTATAGATTATGTATCATTCTATATTTCATTATTTCATTATCATGTTATATTTCATTATCATGTTATTACCTCTCTTTCCATCCCTCCCTTTCTGGACTAAGTCCTTCAGTTACCTGGGCAAGATTTTCAGAATCGTTTGCTATTGCCTTTTTTCTAAGACAGAGAGGGACTAACTAACCCAAGATCCACCCAACTGGCTTTGTATCTAAAGTGGGACTAGGTTTCCTTTTGGTGCCTTCCCCTCCTTCCTTTGTGTATCCCTCATTCCCTCTCTCTCTTGGTCTCTCTCTGATGTGAAATAAGGATATGTAATGTCAACCAGATTTCTGAATGCCAGATATTCCTGTACATTAGCAGTATTGT